TTGCCAAGGTTGAGAAACACTGGATTAGGGGACTGGAGACTAAAACGTATGAAGAACAGTTGCAGGAACTGGGGATGTCTAGTTTAATGAAAAGAAGGACCAGGAGAGACATGATAGCAGCCTTCCAATATCTCAGGGGTTGCCACAAAAAAAAGGGGGGGGGGTCAAGCTACAGAGAGAAGCACCCTGGAATTAAGGAGAAACTTCCTGACAGTGAGGACAATTAACCAGTGGAACAGCCTGCCACCAGAAAATTGTGGGTCACTGGAGGTTTTTAAGAAGAGATTGGAAAGTCACTTGTCTGAAATGGAATCTCCTGTGTGAGGAGAGGCTGGAGTAGATGACCTCCAGGTCTATTATTCTGTTATTCTTTTTGAAGGGGTACTCTACACACACACCCCGATTGGGGGCTTCTAGGGGGGGCTTTCCTCCCTCCCCTCACTCTTCCCCCTCCCCTCCAGATGTTCTCCGTGATCAGGGAAGTGGCGCAGAGCAGCCAGTGTCTGCAGGAGCGTTACCTGCGGGAGGTGCAGCTTCGCAAGAAATACCACGACCAGCTGCTGGAGCTGAAAGGTGGGTTCCTGGGCATGAGGGAGGGGGTGGGGTGGGGGGAGGAAGGGAGAAGCAGGGGAGGGCTTCCATGGCTTGATTTCTTTGTGGGGCAGATGGAATGCCCCTCCCTCCCTTCTCCATTGCTGCTGGCAGCGATCCCAACACAGACCCTGGATCTCTGGGGGGCTTCCTGTGGCTGTATGTCTCCCCCCTGCCTCCCCAATGTCTCACTCAGAAGGGGGGGTCAGATACCCTCTTCTTTGGGGGCTGTCGAAGTCCTGAAAGGGGCAGGAAGCAGCCGCCGTGAGGTGGGCTGGGGACAGTCGGGGAAAGCCTGGGGAGTAGCAGGGTCGAATCTCCTTCGCAATAACGGTGGGATATAAATTAAACCAATCAATTGAAAAGACAGGTGATCCTCCACTTACAACAGTCCGTTTAGTGACCATTTCAAAGATTCAACGGCACGGAAAAAAATTGACGCACGATCGGTTTTTGACCCTTAAGGCCCTGGCATCATCCTCATGGCCACGTGGTCAAAATCAGACACGTGGCCACTGACTCATACTTACGACTGAATGGACCCCTCCCTCCCTTCCTCAGGCAACATCCGGGTCCTGTGTCGCCTGAAGCCGCTGACCGAGGAGGAGCAGCAACAGGGGGCTCCCGGGGGCCCCAGGGTAGAAGCCGGCTCGGCCGAGGATGGCTCTGTGACCGCCAGCTACAAGGGGAAGGAGCACCACTTCAAGCTGGACAAGGTCTTCCTTCCCTGTGCCTCTCAGGAGGAGGTGAGCCCCTCCCCTTCCCCAGGGTCTCCACTCAGGGCCCCCCCCTCACCCACCCAGCCCCCCCGGGAAGCAGAACTGAAGCCATGGGATGGGGGAAGGAGTGGGGGGAAAGCAGCACATCGCTGTGCAAACTCTGGGAATAATGTCAGTGGGATGAGGTCCCATCATCCCCTGCCTTGTACTGGAGAGCCCCCTCGGGGAACTCCGGAAGCTTGAAGAGAGGAGAGGAGAGAATAATGCAGAAGAGAATGGAATAGAATGGGTGTGGAGGGGAGGAGAGGGAAGAGAAGAATAGAGAAGAGGACAGAGAAGAGTATAATGAAGAAGGGAATGGAAGGGAAGGGGAGGGAAGGGAAGGGAAGAATAGAGAAGAGTAGAATAGAGAAGAGAAAAGAGAAGAATAGAGAAGAATAGATAAGAGAGGAGAAGGCAGAAGAGAGGAGAGGAAAAGAGTAGATGAGGAGGAGGAAAGAGGGGAAGAGAAGAATAGAGAAAAGAGAGGAAGGGAGAAGGGAAGAGAAAACTTTATGGGCCAAGTCTGATTGGACACACAAGGAATTTGTCTTTGGGGCAGAAACTCTCTGCACCGAGTTACAACACTTAGTAGATAGTCATAGGATACTAAACAAGCAATCAACATAATTGTGCTAGGAAACGAAGTAAAACAATACTAATATTAAATTAAACAATATATAAAAAATACTTTCCCCATTAAGGAGAGCAGGGCACAACTCTCATTCTCCCTGGGTTGGGGGGGTTGGGGGGGTGAGAGGCTTTAGGGGGAGCAGGAGGCTCGGGGGGGGGGTCCTGATGCAGGGGGGGGACGCCCTTCCCCCCCCAATCGGTCAATGCTGCTTCAGCCTCCAGGGGGGGCGAATGAAGTCTTGCTCTGAGCCATCTCTCTGCTCCCCCAGACGGATCCGGAGCTCACCTGCCCCCCAGCTGCCACCTCCCCCACAGATCCTACCCTCTGCGATGCCTGCAGGGAAGGGGGGGGCAATGAAGGGTGTTGTTTGGTGCAAATCTCCCCCCCCCCAATTCCTCTGTGCCTCGGCAGGTCTTCCTGGAGATTGAGCCGGTGGTCCTGTCTTGCCTGCAAGGTTACAACGTTTGCATCTTCGCCTACGGACAGACGGGCTCGGGGAAGACTTACACCATGGAGGTAAGGCCTTCTCCAGTGTGGAGGGGCGGAGGGAGGCTCCCCCCTTCGTGGGGATCTGGGCCGGGCCAGCAAAGTGGGTCCCCAAGAAAAGAGAATGTGTGTAGCTCAGGGTTGAACTGGGGAAGGGGCTGCCCTTGGAGCTCCGGAGGTTTTCTTGCAGACGTTTCATGACCCAACTAGGGAACATCATCAGTGCTAGAAGGGAAGGGGCGTCTGTTCTCTGATTATTCGCAAGGCTTGAGCTATCAGATGTATATAAACAGAGAGCAAACCCACCTCCCTTCTAGCACTGATGAGGTTCCCTAGTTGGGTCATGAAACGTCTGCAGGAGACGGTTCATCACCTAATATGCACAAAGAACACCGAGGACCCCACAGTCCTCCTCCTCCTCCTCCTCCTCCCTCTCCTCTCTACAAACCCACCTCCCCTTCTAGCACTGATGATGTTCTCTGGTTGGGTTATGAAATGTCTGCAAGAAAACCACCAAGCTCAGAGAGCACCAAGGACCCCACAGTCCTCTTTCTCCTCCTCCTCCTCCT